ATCTCACAAGAGGTTTTCGTGTATAGCTGATTTTATCCCCTACAGATACAAGCCGGTATACCGACGCTCCGGTGACGGAGAAAAAACTCTACACTATGCTACAAGAGTTTAGGGTCACTCTGCAAGCAGACTTCAAATGAGTGATTAATTAAATACAAATGGATATAGTGGACCTTGGCGAACGCAAACTGCCTAGGGGCCCGTATGGAGGAATAATGTACAGAACATAATGAGATGGCAGACACCGTACAACATTTAGCTGACGAGCACGAGCAGCTTAAACGTAAACTGGCGGACATGGAGGACCGGCCCAGGAGAAATAACGTGCGCTTCAGAGGGATCCCAGAAATGGTAACAACAGATGCTTTATATGAATAGCTTGTAAATCTATGCAAAACCCTATTACTGGACATAAAAGAAGGGAATGGCTCATGGACAGGGCTCAGACTGCCAAAACCCCAGAGGTTTTCGCAAGACACCCCGAGAGACGCAGTGGCAAGATTCCACTACTACAAAACCAAAGAAGAACTTCTAAATGCAGCAAGGAAACTCACCAAGTTACCTGATCCTTACTCCAACATCCAACTATGCATGGACCTATCGGCACTAATGATGGCAAGCCGCACAGAATTCATTACGGTTACAAAAACACTCAGGAACAATCAAATTCAGTACAGGTGGGGATACCCTACCAAGCTTCTCATATGGGAGAATGGGAAAAGTCACACAGTCAAGGAGCCAGAAGCGGGCATGCGACTCCTTAAAGAGTGGGGACTGTTCCCGTACCAGGAGCCAGGGGGCGAGCAGCCACACCACCAAGGCACCTACAAAACGAATGGCAGATGGCAGGCTCCCCATGGGCCGCCAAGCAAGACTGATTCAATTACAGACTCTGGGTAATGTTGCAGATCTGGACACAAATCCAGAAACCATATCCTTTATTGTTGCTAACCAGTTAAATGTTCATGTTACTGTTATATGATAATGTTGAGATGGGACCAGGCTCCACCATGTAAACAATGGCACCTAGCAAGCCTCAGTAATGGACCTCGAAACAGAAGTTGAGAATAATAGAGCTAAACACTTACACACGCCAGTCTCACCTCTTTGCGCCAATATTGCAGCTTAATAGATAGATGCATGGGTGGGACCTAGAAGGATGAGCACTAATGGGGCAACACTCCATGTTAAAAGGAACAGGTGATTTAACTGGGCAATAAGCCACAATAGGAGGGAAACATTTATACCGTGTAGGGATAATAACTTAAAAACAACAAACCCACCCCACTACAAGAGCAGAGTACTGCAGACTAAGCACTCAAAGTTATCTGGGTCGGCGGGCACTAAAAAGAGAGGGGTTTCTATCTATTTCCACAACGATTGGGTCTTTACAATGGCCAGGGAACACACAAGCAAGGACGGGAGGCTTCTAATATTGGTGGGAACACTAAATGGTATCCAAGTGACAGTAGTGTCCCTATATGCACCGAATGATACACAAAAAGCGTTCCTGAATAAGGCATTCAGGAAAATTTACCAGAGGGATCCCATACCATGGCAATTAAACTTTATTAAAATTATGTGTGTGATCTGAACCCCATTCAGTAATAATGTGCGCTTAGATCTGAGCTATCTGGGGATATGTTGAATGTACCTGTTTTATGCAATGGCTGCACAGTTATATATTTTTATGTATTTTATTGTCTTTTGCTGCCGTGTGTTCAATGGAGTTTTGTCTCTGTCCTTGGAGACAATTGGATTACTTCCCAATTATCTCCAGGATAGAAGACTCTGTGGAACTGGTTTTGGGCAGAAAAGCCATGCTTCATTTGGTCACAAAGGACTACGATCTATCCTTTGAAACACTGGAACAATTTGTATGATTTTGATGTATGTTTGTATTTGGAGTATGCTGATACTGAAAATGTGAATGTGATGCATACTTTTAAAATTATGAATAATGTGGAAAAACTGTATTTCTCTGCCTGTGATAATTACATTACCCATTGTGTAAGGTAATTGTATCACAGGCAGAGGGGAGGTTTTTGTGTGGGAGTGTCTGAGTGTATTGTATGTGTTTATTGGGGGTGGTACTAATGTGTAAGAATGTGAATATAAGAACAATAAACCCACAGCTCTGTCTGTTCCTGCTTGACCCTCAAAACTGAGCCTTGTCTCGTTCTTGGGGGGATTTATAGTATGCTGTTTGTAACGGACCGTTTTGCACACAAGGGGTAAAAACCGTTTAGGCGATCGGCCCCCTTTCCAGAGATACAGGCACAGCTACTGCAGAACACCAAACTCCCGAACTGGATACAAAATAGCACTCCAGCTCCCGAACTGGAACCTCCCAAATAGCTGCTAGCAGACGAACAGGAAAAGCAGACAATCAGCTTACACTCCTGGCAATCAGTCTCTAACAACATACAGTGAATCCCCCCAAGAACGAGACAAGGCTCTGTGTTGAGGGTCAAGCAGTGGTCTGTTTAATGAGGGCTACCTGCCCAGTATTTATGCAGGTCTCCCACCTGGTGGACACTCCCCTAGGGGACCAAATGGGAGACTGTGACAAGGGACAGACAATTAGACAAATAGGACACACAGTCACAGTATCTCCCACAATGCATCCTGGCTTCCTCCCCTCTGCCCTGGGAGATAATTGGGAAGTAACTCAATTATCTCCCAAGACAAAGGTAAAACTCCATTACACACGTGGGGACACAAAACCAGCATTATACTTTAAAATACACAAAGTAACATTTACTACATAAAACACAGACATGTAACATATCCCCAGATAGCTCAGGTCTGAGTGCACATTATTAGGTGAATGGCACTCAGACCACACGAATACAGTTTAATCGCCATGGAGCCAAAGT